GGGTCTTAGGAACTATTGGGAGTGCATATATGAGCTTAATTATGTAAATGGGAGAAGAATGTATCCCAAAACAGACTTAAACAGATCAATTTTCCATTTGTAGACCCCTTCAGACAAGCAGACAAGCAGACAACCACCAACATTTAACATAGGTACATATCCAGCTTTATGATTGGGAGTCATACAGCTGTAGGTTAAGACCTTTTTCGTGGAAAATGCCACTTCCTAATTTGGCCAACATACAGTGTAACACCTGTACATGATGTTTCCCTACAGGGAGTGTTCACAAAAGTAAACTACATCCAATGACCAAAGAGGCTAATAAATTAACCATTGTGCTAGCCTTAAAAATTGCTCAATGTGAAAACTTGATGATATCAAATTAAACATAATATACCTCTAGATATAAGAACTCCATACACCTCTACTCTCAAAGCTTTGTTTCTAACAAACTTGACAGGCTGGAAACGAATGAACCTTGCCCTCACATCTCTGAGATTGTGTTTGACAATGTCATGTCTTCCAGAATTGCCACTGAAAGTCTAAAACAATTAATACAAAATATGAGTTGATGATTTAACTTTATACATCAATTTTATTTTTGTTGGCCATGGGACTGAAACTGGTGAGTCAGTCAGTGCTTTAGAAAACTTTAGAGGCTACTGTGCACCAAAGTATCCAGATGTGTTCTCTTTTCACTGCTTTATAAGGTCAGTTAATTCAATTAACATTATACATTTGTGACAGAAAACTTGGTATTGTGCATACATATTGTAGTTACTCAGGATTTTAATATAGCCCATATCATAAACATTTAAGATCCTTGCTTTTAGAGACATGCATGTCTGTCCATCCATTATAGATGCTCATTTCTCTCAGTACACGATGAGGAGTAATGCATTTTAAGATTTCACATTTCATTCAAGTTCACAAGTTTTCTCCAGGGCAGAGTTTGAGACTTAAACCCTCACATACATGTAGCTCTTAAAATCTCCCTTTAGAACAACTCTAAGAATATCTTTTACAGTTCTGTATTCAATCTCAATGGCTTTTTTAACCAACCTTGTCAACATTGTTTTCCTTGTAAGTCACAAAAGTGGAACCATCAAAGGATAGCTGTAACTTGTACTCAGTTGTCCAGTCATTAAAAGTTGACCTCCCTTGAGTAGCTACAGCACAAATAAGAAACTCATACTGCAGATCAATTTGTAGATAATCATCAGGTCTGTCACTACTGCTGGGTGACCATCCCCTAAATGCATTCAGTCGACCATTAAAAGCTTCAAGATTTGTACGTTCACTTGATGCTGAGAAGCTGGCATCAGGAAGTGTGTCAGTGCTAGCCACACCTATGGCCTGCATTTGGCAAGCTGTAATCAGTTATAAGAAAAAAAATAAACTGATTAATTACAAGCAGATACATGTAACACAAAGAAGTAGACAGCAAACCTGCCACTACAAAACTAATTTGCATTTATGTAAGGTTCAGTTTAAATAAATCATAAGAGAGCTGTCTAATAATCTGATGGTTTTCATTTGTTTAATCAGGTGTATTGATTTGAAATTTTTTTTGGAGTCTATAGTACCAGACTTTCAATACATATTTGACATTAATCTATGTTAAATATTGTACCAGTGTTTTCCACTAAGCATAAAGGTTTTGACAAAAAAATTCAATCAAATTGTACCTGCAGGCACAGTTAAGGCTTGGCAGAGAGAACTGTCCATTAAATGATTTAGAGCAAAGGCTAGGAATGGTTTTATTGTGAGGTCAAGTATAATGAGAACTTTGGCTGACATACAAGTTTCAAATTGCAGATGCATGGAAAGAAAAAAATTGAGGAAAATGCCAGTAAGACTAAGCCTACTGGGATTCAATCAAATTGTACCTGCAGGCTCAGTTAAAGCATGGCAGAGAGAAATGTCATTTAAATATGTCGGAGCAAGGGCATGGGATGGTTCTATAGTAAGGTAAAGCATGAATGTAGAACTTAAGTGTACATTAGCATAACTCCTCTGTGCAATAACTTAAGACTTCGATCAGTGTGAGGTTATCAAACATATACAGGTATTTTATATCAGATGTATTACCTCTCCTTTCAGAATAAACTTCAACTTCACAAAGTGTGAAGCGTTCACTGTCAGTTCTTAAGCTTCTTATTGTCACATATCTTCCAAGTAATACAGGACGACAGAAAAAGGATACCCCTTTTCCTCTTGGAAGGCTATAACTCTGCCTATCACCACACCTGGGATTGGTAATTCCTCCATTATTAGATACTGTGCCTGTAAAGAATCAGGAAACAATTTAGGGTTTGGCAGGAAAAGTAACCAAGAACTTGTTTACCCAGCTACTATCATTACTCAGTGTTGTGAGAGTATTACATTCATCCTTCAGATCCAGAGTGCAGCCTTTATTATTCCACCATTAATCTTCCACAAGTAGAGCAGAAAGGAAATGGTAATTCACTATGACACTTCATCATGATGTATTTGACAAAAATTTCCACCTAATATTTCTTTGCATATAGGCATAGATAAACTTAAATATAACCCACCAGTTAAAGCATGAAGACAATTTGTCACTACCAACATTATGAGACATGATTGCTTGAAACATTTTGACTCAATTTCAAAAATGATCTGACCTACCCACTCTGATCTCAAAGTTATTCTGCCTGTAAAACCACTGGTTTTCTTGGTTGACTAGGTATATTTCTGAAACTGGTTCAACTTGTCCCAAGTCAACTCTCCACCAAGGGTTGAGTTCTTTGCCAGTGTGGGTACAGCTGTTAGCGTAATAGTCTGTGTTACTGATACCATCAACTGCCCTGCTACTTACTCCACCAAACTCTACACTACTTTGATTTGTTTGTTTTCCAAATGCAAGATTATCTGAAATGACATATGTAATTAAGTTAATCAGCATCTACTCACATTAAAAGTATGGTCAGAAGAGATTTTGGAACTAACAGTGTCACTACAACTTAACAAAAACTTTCAAAGTTTTGCTACAAAGATCTTTAGTCAATATCAATCTCTATGGTTAATGAAATGTACCTCGCAAATAGATTTCCACCTCACAGAGTTGAAGAGCTTGTTTCCTTACTGTTGATATCCCTACATATCTGCCAGTTATCAGTGGGTTGGTAAAACAAACAGCTGATGCTTTGAAGTTAACAAAACTGTAGAGTCCTCTACACTGAGTGTTGTTTACTACTATTGGGTTGTTACCTGATGTTATTAAAAATAAATAAATAAAAACAACAATTCACCTTAATGCTCTGTACATACCAAATGTGTGACAAACTACTGTATAAAAATTTTTCATTACTGATATAAACTTGTTTTTCCCCTGTAAACTGGTATGATATTTGGTATGACACAGTTTCAAAGGGAAATAAGATTTTGCATGCATGTACACATAAAGTTAACTGAACCACTTACAATAAATAGAATACATATCAATCATTATTGTTTGAAGCGTGTAATCATAGTGATTTGTAAAATACACAAAGTACATTAAGGGGCTCAAATATCTTAATTCAGCAGCAACAGAAACATCAAACTGAAAAAGCAACATATAACT